TTTTTTTTAATGAATTTAAACTTTTTTTTTTTTTTTTTAATGAATGTAAACTTCTTTTTTCCTCCTTTTTTTTTCCTTTTCATATGAATCAAATTTTGTTTCATATTTTTTTTCCTATAACTTTTATTTCACAAAATTTGTTTCATATTTTTTTTCAATTCTATTTTTTTCATATAACTTCCTAGGCCATTTATACAACATTAAATTGTAGTTTTTAAATAATAAATTATGTTTGACCCTATGGCCCTTTGACCCTCGGTTGGAGACGGTTTTTTGTGACAGGGCTAAAACGAGCCATTTGGCCCTCTGGCCCTCGATTGGAGACGGAGGCAAATATGGCCCTGTACTGTTCATTAAAATATTAATATCTTGAGGAATCTTGGAGGGCTAGAGGGCTCAAACGAACCCTCTGGCCAGCCTTCGGTTGGAGATGGCCTTAGTAATAACATTTTGTAAACCCCAAAGTAAACACCATAGATAAGCCTTTCCTAACTGCCAATGCATTCACAAGAAGATGGAAAGAGACAAACTTGAAATTCAACGACAAAACAGCGATGAAGTGGCCATTATCACTAACACAACTTACATTAGTCATCATATAATATGATTAGATCCAAGCCGTTGTGGCACTTTCCTGACCGTCGATTATAAAAATGTTTGGATCCAACGTCGGTTTACCTTCCACGCAGCCGCTTCACCAGCATATGAGAACCCGGATTACCGGTCAAACAAGAGTACACTTTTGCTCACCACCATTTATGGCTGGTTTGGTATTGCTGTGCTTTGAAAAAAAATTTCTGTGAGAATAAGCTGTTGTGTTGTGAGAATAAGCAGCTGTAAAATAAATCAGCAGAGTGTTTGGTAAACTTTTTTGTAAAAGTGCTTTTGGAAAAAAAAGCAGTCTGATAGTGAGTCTTTTCATTAAAGGAGTACTGTAGCTCCGTGTGCTTTGAAAAAAAACCAGTTTTCCAAAGCTGCAAATAGCAGCTTTAGCTTTTTCCTTTGATTTCAGCTTATTCTTACAACAGTTTCCAAAATAAGCCCTTTTTTTTCAGTTTACCAAACACCTAAAACCCTCACAGCTTTTTTTCATGGGTGCTTTTTTTTTAAGCACCTCACTCCCAAACCACCCCTTAGTGTGGTGTATGATCACCACCTTATTTATTATCGTTAGATAAGTTTGAATTTTAAGATTTGTATTTATCCACTACACGAATCTTGATATTCAAAACTCATTTAGCGATGATTAATAAGATAATGAATATATAATATACTAAATGAATACTTCTGTCAAACAAAGACAAAATTTCAAACCGGACAGCGATTAAATATATGAATTCGAACAGTACAGCCCCACCCCACACGTGGCAGCCAACGAGCCCCACCTCCATAACTCCCCTTCCAGAAAGTTCCAGCAAACTCGCGGCTACCAAAATTGTAATCCATACTAACGGCCCAGATCCCTCCACGTGGCATCCGACGTGGCACGATTTGCATCCCGGCATATGATACGCCTCGCTCTTCCGAGTCTCTCTCTGTCCTCTTGCTTTCTTCTCCGGACTCGCTGAAACTCTCCCACTGAAACTTTCGCTAGAGAGAGAAAGTAGAGAGAGAGAGATTTTGTTCTCAGATTTGTTATACGAGACAACGGTGTCGTTTTGGATTGGCGATGGACTGCAATGAAGGAGGAGGAGGAGGGTCGACGAAAACGGAGGAGCGGAGAGAAGCTCTGGTGTATATGTGGGGATATCTTCCGGGAGTATCGCCGGAGAAGTCTCCGATACTGTCTCTGTCGCCGGTGCGGTTTCCTAATGGGATGGAGGGTGGATATTCGTGGAAGGACGTCTGCGGCGGCGGTTGCGGATTCGCCATGGCCATCTCAGGTTTGATCCTCGAATTCTCAATCTTTAAACAAGTGATCAATGCTTAATTACTTGTTCGATTTGTTAATCGTGTGTTTCAATTTGTTCGGATGATGGTTTTGATTAGAGTGTGGGAAGCTGATGACGTGGGGGTCGACGGACGAGGAGGGGCAGAGCTACGTCGTTTCTGGGAAGCACGGGGTAATGCAGCGGTCTTGTAATTACTTATAATTATTTAGGATTTCGAATTTTCTGGGATTAATTTTTTCATCTTTGTTAAGGAGACTCCGGAGGCATATGCTCTCCCAACTGAGGCTTCAATACTCAAGGCTGCTGCTGGTTGGGCTCATTGCGTTGCTGTTACGGGTAGGTTTTTTCGCTCTTATTTCTGATGACGGAATGAATATTCATTGTTCACTACTTAAATTTGTGTTTGAAATAAAAGGATTTATGTGTAAATTGGTTAGTTGACTGTTGTGTGGATTATTAGTGTTTCTTGATACTAGTTGCATTTAGTCAAATTGCGTGAAATACCGGGGTAATTCTACGATTTGAGTTTGGTAACATGATGAAATATGGATAATCTAGGGCCCGTTTGATAAACATTTCGTTGTTAGTTTTTAGTTTTCTTTTTTTATACTTGAGATATGGAAATAGTATATGGGGAAAAGGAGGGATGAAGAAGGGTGGTGAGAGGGAGGGGAAGAAATAAAGAATGAATGAGAACAAAATCTGGAAAGCGGAAACAACTTAAAATAGTGTTTGGTTTTTGGCTTTCATCTGTTTTCCTTTTCTTGTACATTTCTTCTACGTCTTTTCCACCCTACTTATCCTCTCCTCTATATCCTTCATTTCTCCCATGCATTCCCCCTCCCTCTCTACAAGAAAAATGAAAACTGATAAAGCTAAAAGCAAAATGGTTATCAAACGGGCCCCTAGTTTCTACAGGAGCAGAATGTGAACTAATTGGGATTATTGGTCAATCTACTTTCTACAGAGACTGGTGAAGTATACACTTGGGGTTGGAAAGAGTGTGTTCCCTCTGGGAATCTTATTGGTGATCTGGGCATGGTGGAACGTCTCCAAAAGGATACTACAGGGAATCAAAGTTCATTACCAGCTGAACAAGGTATTTCTGTAACCTGGGTATATCTGGAAAAACATGCACGGAAACCTTTTCGATTGTACTAGATCAGTGTGATTAAGACCTTATTGTCTTATACAGTAAACTCAATGTCTCAAGGCTTCAATTTGACTAGTGGGACAGTATCTCATCTTGAAAGCAAAAGGGCCAGAGAGGAAATTGCAAAGCGAAGGAAAATTTCGTCAGCTAAAGTCGAATCTGAAAGCTCAACAGGTGGTGAAGAATTCTTCAATCCATCCCCTTGTCTTGTAACTCTGGGTCCTGGAGTGAGAATCACCACTGTCGCAGCTGGTGGGCGCCATACTTTAGCATTATCAGGTAATGTTTCGGGGTTGTATTTAAGACTTTCAGGATGGTTGCTTTTCTTTGTGGTCACACCATATAGTTTTGTAGGTTGTAGGATGTACGAAGCTATGGAGGATTTTTGATGTAACACAAGACCCTGATGCATCATAATTTTAACCGAAGTTTCAGATATGGGACAGGTGTGGGGTTGGGGCTATGGAGGCGAAGGACAGCTAGGTTTGGGTACCAGGGTAAAAATGGTTTCTTCTCCTCATGTCATCCCCTGTATTCAGCCATCTGCGTCTGGGAAGGATAGGTCTTCTGTGATATCTCAAGGTTCAAAAATTCCTGGAAGTTATGTGAAGGAGATTGCTTGTGGAGGCCGGCACAGTGCAGTAATAACAGGTCAGCATTTATGGGATCGTATAGAGCTTGTAACCAGAGAATGAAGAGCTGGTTAATAGATTGTGTTTATAGGTTGTACGCGTTAATGTAATCCTACTTATTTGTTTTCCATCCTTAATTATCTTTGGATCTATGCAAAATGCAGGATTGTTCTTGGTTGTTGTATGGATCCTCTTCATTTGACGAAGACATCCTCTTTTTGTGTGACCATTTCAACTGTATCACTCATTTATATTTAGAAATAATTTTGCAATTTGCAGATGCTGGAGCACTGCTTACTTTTGGCTGGGGGCTTTACGGACAGGTGAGCTTGCTATGCTAGTCAAGGTCTATGCTGTTTGAGCGGAACTGAGAGAAATGATTGCTCTTCTTGTATACTTTGATAATTAGGAGTACTTCTGATTAGATTTTCAATTAGAACCGCATTTTCCTTTTCTCGTTCTTGTTATTTATCTGCTGCATTTCTCATCTTTTCCCATTCTGATCCAGTGTGGGCAAGGGAATACAATAGATCAGCTAAGACCAAGTTATGTGAAATCATTGTCCGAAACAAAAGTGAAAAACATTGCTGCCGGACTATGGCATACACTGTGTGTATCTGTTGACGGGCGTGTATATGCATTTGGAGGGAATCAGTTTGGACAGCTGGGAACAGGTGCTGACGAGGGTGAGGTACACTCAACAAGTTATCCATCCTGGTTCTTTTTTCAGCTTTGTGATCTTAGCTTGGCCCAACTTCTTGTTGTATGACTTAACTAAATCATATTCTTGTAGCTTCAGACTCTACCTAAGATATTGGATTCTCCGGGTTTGGGAAGCAAGCATGCAAAAGTAGCCTCCTGCGGCGCTCGACATAGTGTCATTCTAACAGGTAAGCTAATGAAGCTGAAAAGTGTTGATACTTGCACTAATCATTGATATTCACAAAGCTATTAATTTGAACATTCCATTTGTTATTTTGGCTGCAGAAGACGGCCAGTTATTTAGTTGGGGGTGGAACAAGTATGGCCAAGTATGATTCCTAACTTATATGATCAAAATCTTTTAGTCACAACGTCTACTCTTGCACGATCATTTTTAACGGCACGATCATTAACGAACTTCTCTATTCCTGTTTGGATGCAGCTTGGCCTGGGCGATGCCGTGGATAGGAACATTCCTTCTCAAGTTTCAATAGAAGGCTGCTTACTGAAAAATATTGCATGTGGCTGGTGGCACACGCTACTTCTAGCCGAAAGACCCATTTGAGTTTGGGTTCGATCGATGATGACAATAGAAAAGGAATGACTTGCTACAATATGACATCTTCAACTAGTCTGTGTTATTAGATGCTTACTTAGGGCTTGTATCATGGTGTACATTATTTCTTTGCGCACATTCGTGGAGCCGTGTAGGCATGTATTCCATTCTTTCCAGTTTTTAGAAGCTAATTTTTTTTCAAATTGCAGAGAAATCTTTAGTTTGTACACAAACAATTAAAGTAGTTGTACTGATAATTTAGTCTTGCTCTGATGAGGATGTAATGGTGATGCTTCCTAGGTCTCGCCATCGTCACCTGGTTTTGACGCACAATACCCGGCGGCTTGCCGGCTTTTCTTGGATATAAATGGAGGCGCATCAGATCCTGCTTGATATTGAACTTCTCCTGCGTTGCAGAAGATGCAGGAGTGGCCAAAATACATCCATTCTGTGAAAACCCCTTGGTGCCTGAGCATATTCAAACAAACATAACATTTAGAATGGCAAAAATTATGGGCTTCTTTAGACTATATTACGATTTTGGTGTTCGTATTTTCCGAATAATTGTTGGTCTATGTAGTTTCAGTTTTGGCATTTGGTATCTGTAGTTCCTAAATGCAACAATTCAAGGACAAATACGAGAGTAAATCGAGTAATTGTTCTTAAATTGCAACTAGTAGACCCCAATATGCTTAACATTGCGGGAACTAGAACTACATGGACTAGAGTGGAACTTCGCCTGAACTATATGTTACCACCGAAATCATACTTTGGCCGTTTTCCAAAACAAAATTACCATAGAGATGAACTATACCTCGACAACAAAATGTGCCCACATGTTGCTTGAGCGAGTTTCAATCACACCCTTCAAGATAGTCAGCTCTTGTCGTCGGATAGCTTGGGCTATGTCTAAGAAAAGTCCGTGTTCATCACATAGCATCTGCAGTAGTAGTCATGGAAATTTTAGACGAAACGCTTCTGCAACGAAGCTTCGCGTTGACAAATAGGGGGGCATGCAACAAACCTCTATAAGCATGTGTCCTGGGTGTTCAAGATCTTCTACCACAATGGGGCAAATCTGGAGTTCACTTCCAACTTCGAAAGCCCTGCTTGTCCCACTTTCGCAGCCACTTGTGGCTTCGCTTGTGTTATTGGAATGAGGTGCCTGCAAAAGCATCAAGGATATAGTTAGAAACTAGTGATTAATTCGTTGGTCTTCAACATTACGCACCAGCTGGATTCGGAACTACAAAATGACTTTGAGGACAAATAAAATTTCTAAGTCCAGGACGTTGTACAGAAGTTTTTTTCATCTTTGGGAGACCGTCATGGTGCTTGTCCTGGCCGGCTGCTGTTTATTGATATTTTCATTTTAATTATTTCATGCATAATTTACCAAGAAAAAAGGCTTTGCATACCTCTTGTGGTGTGTAGCACCTCAGTTTTTCGGTTTGGTCAGTCATGTTTCTTAAAAACTGCATGTGTTTAACGGTTCGGTCTAAAAGGCCGTCAATGCTGCACTGAATACCAGAAACCAAACACGTCTAGTTAGAGAAAAACAAGCAATTATGTATTTGTCCCTCAAAAAATAGAGAAAGGCTGTTACCTTAGCACCATTTGGGACAAGGTCTCGTAGCTCTTTCATACGATCCTGAATCAGTTGTCTATCTCTTGGTCTTAGCTTCCGGCTATTGCCAAGCCTGGTCTTTCTTGCAGTGCCACCGGACAACTTTTGTTCCTTTTTAGGCTTTGTAGACTTGTACCCTTTCTCCTTCTGCTCTTCGTCAACCAAAGTACTTATCGTGCCTGTGAAAGAAGTTGAAATCTCGCCCCTGGCAGGTAAAGCAGATGTATGGTTCCATGTTGCTGAATCACTTCCAACTGGGGCACTCGCTTCAAATTTCAATTGTTTGAAAGAAGCAGGAAGTTGACTTGATGAGGTAATAGATGATTTAATATTCTCTGATCTGCTAGATGAGGTTTCATCTTTGGCTACAAAAGCTTTCGAGAGGTTCTCAGCATCACTTGCTTTGGAAAACCATGATGGCTCAATACGGGTAGGGAGATCTTTCTGCAAACTAGAGCTGCTACATGTATCATCAATGCCGATAGATGGGTCCCATATATGTTCATCTGTCTGCCTCTGCAAAGGTGTTCCAAGTGCTTTGTGTAGTTCACAATTTTCAGGAAAGCTAAAGAAATTATTCACTGTGTTGTAACTTGTATCTTTAGCATTAACGTCTTCGAACAGTTCTGCTACACCTCCAACAGAGTAAGAATTGAAACCGCTCATGGATTCTCCAAACACTTCCAAACCATAGCCACCAAATTGAGAATAGGCTAGAAGTTCTTCCTCTAGACAAGACAGCCCAAACATCTGACTTTCCATCATACCCAAGCTGGTATCTATCGACTGACTGAGTGGACTTGATTCTCCACAGTGAAAAGTTGGCGGAACAGCAATCACACTTTCGCCTGTACTCTTAAGAACTTCTGGCTCGTCTGTTCCGGTCTCTAGAAGTGAATCTTCAGCAGTTGGCAATTGCAAAAATTGCCCGAAGGTCGACAATAAGTTATCATTCAGTCTGATGTTATGAACATCTTCTGACCCTTCAACGTTGAGTGGATTCATGGTAACAGCTGATGGCTCAAATGTGTTCTGCATTAAACTAAATGATTGTGACCATGATGATTGAGCTTCAATGTCTTTGTTTAAGGTAAAAGGTACAGTTTTCCCCTCAACATTGTGAATAGAATTGAATCTATCTTTCACAAAAGCAACCACTGCAGGATCTTCAGCAACCTGAAATTTTGATCAGAGAAGAAAGGGACTTATAAGATGAATACAAATCGGTGCATGTGTTACAGAGAGAGACAGAGAGAGAGAGAGAGAGACTGAGAAACACATGCGAGTCCTTAAGCTCCAGAAGGGGGGAAGAACATTATGTGAGATTCATGCAGTGTAAGTTATATAAATTCCACTGCCACAACTTCCCAAATAAACTTGTAAGCTACTATCCAGAATGGGATGTGACGGTAGACCAATTCAGGAAGTTTAGAATAAGTTCAGAATGAGCACGCACCGTCTCCAGGGAGCCAAGTTGCAGAACTCCATATGGAAGTACAGGTACAAGCAAAATTGTCTGCATGAGAAATCAAATATGTAATCAGATTTTCATCCATTACGAACATGCGAAACTTGAGCTATAAAATTAAAACTGTGGCCTAATCTGTGTTGCCAAAAGAATTACCTTGATACCCAATGCAAACTGAAGAAGCCATTCATCTGGACACTGAGAAAATATATTCTTTTTTTGGTTATACTGTCAACTACTAGAAGAAATTTTACCAACTGTATATGAAGATCGCTAAGAATTTACATTAGCTTGCTCGAATAAGATTTACCTGAGGAACTAAATCAGACTCTCTGGTGCATAGACTGTCAAGGAAAACCCAGGTAAAGCTCCCTGTACATGCCACCTCACCAACAACCCTGAGAAATTATTTAAATCCACAGTGAACCATTTTTCATTCCTTAAGACATTTGAGAACCTTAACAATAAACACATCGTGTGCCTTCCTGATATCTCTTACGAGACAGAACTTTTCCGGTTGTACCAGTTTAAAAAAGTCACGTTCATACGTGTGTTATGTGTATTCACTGATGGTGGCAAATAACGAAGAAAGCGAAATTGCCTCCACCAAAATTTCTTTTTTTGACTTCTATATTTGAAGATATTTCTTATAAAACATTTAGATAGAAACGTTTTTGGAGATTGAAAGGAAGTACACAACAAGACAAGAGTCAAGAACAAGATTGTACCCTTTTCCAAATGTGTACTGAAGATGTACCATATCAGCCACAGCCAGTCCAATTGGATATCCTGCAGATCCACCATCATGGATACTTGTTGCAAAATCCTTAAAATGCATCTGATTTGCGTCGCTGAAGTAGATGTCATCCGATGCATGTTCCACAGTTTCTCTTGGATTTGGGTGATGACAGTACCCATCCTCCCAAGACAAAATCCTTAAGACAACAAGAAGGCCAGTATCATACCGAAGATCGCCACTAGATTTGATATACATGAGACACACAATAAGCTCGGCATAGAAACACCATTAGGATGTCAATCCAAAGATAAGAATCGTACTAGAACTTTTATTTGTGTGAAATATAAACGTTGAAACCTCTATGCGGTTACGCATATGTATTGTATCGAATGTGATTAGAAATTTCAAATAGAATTCATCTAGTACACTAAGGAAACAGCAAGATCATCGTCAAAACAAAAATTGCAGAAGCATTTTGACTAACTAATTAATTACTTTCCGAATTCTAAGGACGGATAAACAGATTAAAATTTTCAACAAGGGTATGATTCATAGCAAAAAGCGAAGAAAAGGAAAGAAGCTTACAAATCACTCTGGTGCTTGAGCTTCCAAAACACTGAATAATTCCAAGGCGAATCACTGCAGAGGCTCTTCAGCAACTGCCTCAGAGCAGTAGTCCCCATTATCTTCTCAACTTCCTCAAAAGTCTCTCAAATACAACAACTAGTAACAAAATCAATAATCACTTCCAAAAAAAGCAGACAAAACCAACAAACACCTTATCTAGCTGCCCTGGTACGAAGCCCGACCCGCCTGCTTAATCCGCAATCCCGCTCTTCGTTTAATCGGTGGATCGGTCGAAGACAATTCCATCACTGAACACTATGCCCGCTCTCCCTCTCTCTCTCAGCTACTAATCAACTTAATAAAAAAGCACTTAAACAAATCGAGAATCGATAAGAAGCTCTGCCCCTACTCGTTCGACTGATTCGATTAAGCAGTTCATAACTCTGTTTCTATTAGTTCGAAGCAAAAATCGCTGCCAAACAAATACACACAAAACTATAAGGATATTTTCATGAAAATTCAATCAGCTACTGCAAGAAAACTAAGAAAGCAGTCACCTCTAGAAACGAAGACGCTGATCGTGTTCGTATTCGCTGGCTTCCATTTCTCTCTGTGTTTGTAGTGTTTGCTTGGGAAATTGGCCTTCTTCTTCTTCCTCGCTCTCCCCAAGTCCACAAGCTCCGAATGTCCAAACGCACCACAAACAGTGAAACAACGGTTGTATGCTTTTTCTTATACAAAATGCCTCCACCAGGGAACCGGTCACGTTTTTGGTTTTGGCGGATTTCAAACTGGTCCAAAGTCGGATTATATAGCTCGGTTGGAGCGGAGGGAGTGGGTTTCCGGACCCACAAATTTGTTTTTCTATGGGATGTGGGGGCCATTGTTTAGTAGTCATGTCAGGATTGAGATCCTCTCCGAATATCACACTCCCATGCCGATGTAAAGAGCAATACAGATCTTCAAGAGACAAATATATGAGCGTTGGGGAGAGAAATTGTGTGTGAGGTAGGCTAGAGGGATGGGGTTAATGGAGACTGTACAATTTAAATTGAATGATCCAGATTGATGTATGCGTCGACTCTAGATGTGAGATCTAGAGAGGATCTCAATCCATCCTGTTAACGTTTATTATCGACTTCTTATTTTGGATTTTTATCACAATTAGTCTTGAATTAACCCAACACATCAAGATGTTCCATGAAATTAAAAATCAATTAATGTAGTATCTTAATATAAATGCTGCAAATCGATATGGTACTTCCGTCACAATTTCATCAAAATTTATATTGGTGATAACGTGTAGATGTAGAGTAGATATGGGCACACAATTCTAGTAAAATATTACCATATGGATAATTATTGAAATGGCCCGCCCTCTTTTTTTTTTTTTCTTTCTGTTTTTTTTTTTTTTTGTTTTTTGTCGTGTGGAAGTCGATACATAGAGCTGCACTTTAGTCATTAGGGCCTTCTATCTTGGGGGCCCAAAGTTTTTTTATATATCGTATATATCTTTATTAATTATAAAATTATCTTTGTCAACCAAAATATGATGAAAAAATAAATTAATTTTCTATCATAAAAAAAAAAGATGAACAATAATGTAATTTTACAGGTCTAAATTTTATTATTTTTTATTAAAATCCCATCTACATATGATGTTAAAATACCTCTAATATTAAAAAAAAAAACGAAAATAAAAACCTCTCACTCCCCCCACGACTCTCCCTCTCTCCTTCTCATTTTACAAAAAAATGTGTTTATACACACAAAGTATGTAAGTAAATGCTAATACATATAAATATAACAAAATTAAGGACATTATAATTGAATTGTGAGTGCAGTAGAAATGGTTCGCCTCTTTTTTTTTGGCTGTGTGCAGTTCGGAGCTACACTTTAGTCAATAGATTTTTCTTCTTTTAAAAATTTACTCCATATAAAATTAAAGGAAAACTAATGAAAAGAGCTTGAAAACTTTGAGTTTTAATGATAAGGACAAAATAAAGGGTAAAGTGAATAGTACCAGGATTGACTTTTTAGTGTAAAAATATGATTTTTCGTTAAATGGAACAGTACCAGGTGCTTTTCGTTAAAATTCCCTAAAATTAATGGCCCCATCCAACAATTGATTACAAACATGCCATCGTCCTAGTCCAAATGTTTTTTTTTTTTTAATTTTGCTTTTCAAATTCACTTTCAGTAACAAGTAACAAAAACAAAAAAATCATAGAAAGGGTCAGACAAAAAAAAACACATATTATATTTTGTTCAAAAAATTAGGATCTAATTGTTATATTAAATTACATAGAAAATCAAAAATATTTCATGCAATTATATATCAAAGTAATGCATACACATAAGTAACCAATGTTAAATGAACATAACATAATGGATTAGAAAAACTTGAAAATACGGTCAAGGCAAGTGTTTGACACTTTCTCTTTAAGACAGGTTAATGCCACACTACGGTGCTTATGATTGACTGATGCTCGTCTCCCAAGATACAATGACCATGTCCTTGTAATAGTAGCACTCCAAACCACAAGGCTCCAATAAACCACGATTGTGTTAAATACTCTCTCATATAGACTCAATGAAACTCTCTAATATTTAGTGCATTCTATGTATAATTATGTAATTAATAAAAAAATTATCAATCGATTATAGGGGCTTCCCTAATGTAGAATTTGAGATACCTTTTTAGAAAGCATGTGACTATTCAAAAAGAGTAAAAAATTACAATTCTTTATTTGAATAGACGCGTCTTTCTACCAAAATGCTCCATTTCTAATTTCCATTCAATGAATAAATTTAATATTATAATAATAATAATTTTTCAACATATTTTACCTTCTTCTTCAACGTATAAAGTTGTAAAACCTAAGCCCATTTGCAATCCTCTTTTTCTTTCAAATTCCCACTCTCTCTATTTCTATTGAATATGTAAATCAACTCTCACATGATCTTGAAGATTGTAATTTGAGGTAACCGAAACTGTGAATTTATATTTTGTTTTCAATAATTTATTAAACAAACACTGGATGATTCTAATATTCGATATTGTGATGTTGATTCTAGGAAGAACAAAAGAGAACCAATTGGCGCTATTGATTTTATTATATTCGTCAACCAAGTTTTATTGCTCTTTATTCTCTTGAAATCTTTAGCTCATTGTTGATTATTAATTATCCAGAGAATGATAACAATATATTAATGAGTATTTACTAAAATCTCATGCCCTGGGTTGGTCTAGATGGGGAGAAAAGAAAGGAGAGGAAAGCGAGGGAGAGGAACAATGGCAACGATGTTGACACCAATCCTACTATGGCGATAACCATTCTTATTGTAGCAGTGTAGATGAAGTGAAATGCAAGTACATGCGTAAACTTTAAATGTAGAGCTCGGGATACTATTTCGAAGAAGGAGATGAGAGTCTAGAAACTTATCTAGATCTAGATCTATAATTGTGGTATTCTAAAGTAATCATGCATTGTCATTCCTTTAAATTTTTCACAAGATTGTCCATAACTGACTTGAGCTAACAATGAATTGACCATTCTTGTTACATGAAAGTTATGCTCGAAAGGAGATCACATTACTAGTTTTCGTCCATATGTTGTAATTCTGACTTTCACATTAACTCATAAGTGGATCACATGTTTATCGCATCACCAATTTAATGATAGATCATATAGTCAAATAGACAAAAACTATAAATTAATAAAATTTAAAATCTCATAGTGTGATGTGAGAAAATTAAAACTTTGCAACATATTTTAAAAATCACTCCAAACTTATAGTGTAAAATCGTAGTTAGCCAAACAATGAATCTACTCCAAACACGTTTGTGCAATTTGCGATATGTGATGCCTCCCCCAATTACTAGACCGGGAAAATGATTATTAATTTATTAATTAACTATACAAACATGCAAGTGGAAGTTACGTAAGTTAGATTAACATTGAATCATCGATCAAAAAAGCTTATGAGATTTGGCATTTTATGATAAAAGTTGACAATACTTAGTAAAGCATACGTATACAATAAGTTGTTCAAGTTTTCTAAACACCTATTTGATATGCTGACCTTACCTCAGATAAGCACACCAATAGATTAAATATATTCGTTTCACCTATGAAACCAAATTAAGTAGGGCAACCTTCAATTATGCATAATTTTAAATAATATTGAGAGGTAGGAACCTAGACAGGTTCAACAAGAAGTTGACTTAAGCACAATATAAAATATGCTATTAATTATGTGATATTTTTTTTTTATGTTTGGTTACAAGATATTATTTTTTCGGACCGAAAAGACCCACATAATATGAAAATCTTAACCTAATGGACTATTGCTCCTTAGCTATCTAACACTGTCAATAAACTCTTAATTTATTGATATTTATTTTCTTTAATGGTAAGTGCCGTTTCAAGTTTGGAATTTTTTTCTTGCTCTTTATATTTCTTGAAAAATGATTTTCGTGATAATGATATGCGGAAATTATTTGTTGATTCCTTTTTATTTTTTGTGAAAGACGGCTTGACTTTAAGCTCATGCAAAAAACTTCTGAATTTATGGAACAATATTAGAAGAACAAGGTCAACAAAGATGACCTAAAACATGATTTCTTTATGCTTTTTATTATTTTTGGAGAAACACATTTGCATTTTTCTTCTAACCCATAAATAAAAATAAAAATAAAAACTCTCTTTTAACCAACATTATATAATTTATATTCCTTTTATAAAGTTTGTTTTTTTGGTACAACGATATATTTTTACATTAAAAGGAGGGGGAGTTCGGCTAAGTCACACAATAGGCAACCTAATTTGGTATCGAATTCGTCATTCACGAGATTCAAACCTAAAACTTTTAACTTATAAATGAAAAGAAATATCATCAGACCGTAATATTGAGTGGCTATTCCCTTCATAAAGTTAATAATTCATACCTTCTTAATGCATGCTAATTAACACAACATTACATTTAATAAACAATGAATTGTCCTGATGAATGGCACTTCTAGTAGATTGAAGAATTATTGTGACAATTCTACAGACGATTTAAAATAATTATAAAAAACATGTGTGTGTGCGCGCGCGCGTGTGTGTAATGTGTCAAGATTAATCAAGAGCTTATTTTGGTCAACTAAAAGAGCATTCGGCGTGCATGGATGGATAAATTATGGATTGACTACTTAAAGATGAGTATAAGTTCCTATTTAAAATGTGTGTGTGCGCGCGCGCTCGTGTGTGTGTAATGTGTCAAGAATAATCAAGAGCTTATTTTGGTCAACTGAAAGAGCATTCGGCGTGCATGGATGGATAAATTATGGATTGACTACTTAAAGATGAGTATAGGCTCCTATTTAAAACTCTTCGTTTCTAGTTCATAAACCTTTGTGTTTATAATCAGAACTGTTCATATTATATGTCACTCTATAAAAGTTATGTCTACAAAAAATTAATTAAAACTAAGGTCATTTAGTCATCGAATTGTATAAGAATAGATGAATGGAAATGGTAAAAATGTTACGAACCATTTATCTATTTGCTATAGTTAATTGACTTAACGACCTTAGTTTTATTCACGTTTTGTAAAGATGATTTTTACAGAGATTTATAATATGAACGGTTTCAAAAATAAACACAAAGTTATGTAAATCATTCACGAAAAATTTACAAATTTATTCTCATCTTTAAATAGTCAAGTATTGCTCTAAATTATGATGAAAAGGTTAAAGTCGTACATGTGTTTTGATCTAACCTAATATATTATCAATAAACTACAA